ACTTCCGCGGACCCCGAGAGGAAGAGCGAGGAATAGAGCGGAGGGCAGCGTTGAAGACAGTGTCATGAAAAAGGAGGAGAGCGCGAGAGAGAGGCAGAAGGGAGAGGTCAGAGGGGGCAGCACTGAGGGTAAATAGGGTCCAATCTGCCTTAGCAAACTGCCACCGAGGGAAAGAGAGGGAAGGGCGAAAAGAGAAAAAGGAAACAAGGATGGGAAAATGATCACTTCCATGGAGGTCAAGAACCTGCCACGTGAAATCTAAGTAAAGAGAAGAAGAGCAGAGAGAAAGATCAAGACAAGAAAGGGTGCGAGTCCGAGAGTCCAAATGAGTGGGCTCACCAGAATTCAGAAGAGACAGGGAAGAAGAGAGGAGAAACGGCTCAAGGAGGCGACCCCGGGTATTCGTCAGAACGTCACCCCAAAGAGAATGACGACAATTGAAGTCACCCAGCAGGAGCACAGGCAAGGAGTCTAGGTGGTGTTTCAAATCAGGAAGAGAGAGCGGGACACTCGGGGGGAGATAAATGGAACAAACTGTGTACCATTTCCCCACAAAGGTACGAGCAGCAGAACAATGGAGAGGCGAAGGAAAAAGTAAAGGAACAAAGGGAACATCTGCACGAATCAAGAGAGCAGAAGAATTAGAAGCCCCAGCAATGGCTGGGGGGGGGGAGAGAAAGGAATAGCCACGAAAACGACCAGGACGAGCACCAAGCATTGGCTCCTGGAGACAGACACAAAGGGGCGAAAACCGCGAAATCAGAAGTTGGAGTTCGAGGAAATTGGCGTAATAACCTCAAACGTTCCATTGAAGAATTGACAACGACGAGAAGAGAAAGGACAAAAACAGAGAACAAGGAAGAAACAAAGGCGAAAGAGCAACAGAGCACGTTAAAGAATATCAGGGTCGGGATCAGGGTCAGCAAAGTCAGGGTTAGGGGGCATGGGTAAACTGAGCAAAGACGGAGGGAAGGAAACGGGAGAACAGATCAGAGGTGGGCGGGCGGGGTCCGGAGGAGGAGGAGGAAGAGGAGGAGACAACGGAGAGGAGCAGTCAAGGACAGCAGTAGGAAGAGGGGGAGTAGAAAGAGGGGGAGTAGAAAGAGGGGGAGTAGAAAGAGGGGAGCGCACCCCAGCAAGAGCAGCAACCGAAAGGGAAGCAGGGGCCAAAGAAACCTCCATAGCAGGAACAGGGGGCGCAACCACTGAAACGGGAGGGGAAGGAGCAACAGAGCCAGAAGTAGGAGCTAAGGAAGAAAGCGAAGCCTTCTTACCCGCCGGGGAAGAGGAAGGAGAGGAGCCAGGCTTACGCTTCTGACTTAAAGAGACAGGCGTCCCAGCAACTACGTACCGGGCAACGGATTCCAGTGTCTCAACAGGAGAAGCCGAACGAGAGCACACACGACGGCCGTTAGGAGAGCGATGGACATCCGCCTGCACCGACAGGCGGCGGGGAGAGCCGATAGATGGAGGAAGAGGATGGGAAGGAGGATCGGAGGGGGACGAGGAAGAAGACACAGGAGACATGACAGACCGGGTTGAAAGAAGGGGAACCCCAGACAGAGGACCAGGAGGGGGACCCCTCGGGAAAGAACTCAAAGGAACAGAGGAGGGGGCAGTGGGCGTATCAGTGTCCAAGGCCCGGAAACGGTTGAGAGTCTGAGGAAGGGGGGAAGGACGAGGAGAGGAAGAGCGCAACACGCGAGCATAAGAGATGTTAGTATAAGGCGGGAGCCGGCGAACCTGGCGCCTCGCCTCAGGAAAAGACAAACGCTCCCGGTGCTTCAGGTTAAGGACGGCCGCCTCAAGCTTGTAATGGACACAGGCACGGGAGAACGTAGGATGGGCCTCACCGCAGTTGAGGCAGCGAGCTTGGGGAGAAGTGCACTCCGACTTAGAGTGACCTTCACTCCCACACAAAGGACAGAGAGAGACAGTCCCAGAGCAGCGGAGGGCACCATGCCCAAACCTCCAGCACTTATTACAAAGTCGAGGAGAAGGAATATACTCCTGGACAGAGCACCTAGCACCAGCAAGAATGACAGAGGATGGAAGGGTCCTACCATCAAAGGTGATCTTCACAACGCGAAGGGGTTGACGGCGACGACCACGAGGGGGACGAGTAAACGAGTCAACCTGGAGGACAGAATGGCCTTGGGCATCAAGGATATGCCGAATATCATCGTGGCAATCCTGCAGATTCCGAACACCGGTTGCAACATGGGGTGGGAGGAGAATAGTGCCAACACTGGAATTCATCTGAACGTTCTTGGAGACCCGAACAGGGATCTCGCCAAGGCAAGAAAAGGCAGCCAAGCGGGAAGCCGCATCCTGAGAAGGAGCAGCAACGACACGTGTACCGAGACGAGTGGGGTTGAAAGTAACACACGCATCCACGGAATCTACAAGATGCCGATGGAGGGAGAAATCGTCAGGAGGCGCAGAATCAAGAGGGAGATCAAAGTATTTGGCCCATGAAGCAGGACCAAACAAGGCCTGATACGCATCAGCACGGGAAGGAATCGAGCGAGTGCGGTTGGGGCGCGAACGGCGTTGAGAACCCCTAGAGAGAGAGGGGTCAAAAGGCGCAGTAGTCACAACATAAGACTTAGCCACACCAGGGGACGATGTGGTCACCACCGGGGGCTGGAGGCTCGACCCAACCACAGAGGAGGGAGGGGAGCTGGGGGAAGAAGTCAGGACGGTCAAAGGAGGAGCAAGGTCGGGGCCCAACGCAGCGGGAGCTACAGAGCCTGGTCTTCCAATACAGGCCGACTCGGGGGCTTGGTCGCCCACCCCACGAGCCTGAGAGGGTACAACGGAAACATTCAACGACAGACGAAAAATGACAAATTCATCCACGAATGTGCCCCCATACCCACCATGGAGCCACAATTAGAGGCAGGACACCCAACAGGAAGCTATCGCCGATCACGCCGGGGCCCCCTAGGGGTGCGTCGTGAGTATACGCCCCACAAACGCCACCTTAAGAACCGTCAGTCCGTCGAGATCGGGTTCAGCGACGAAAGGGGGATTGACAATAAAAGGTTCCCCTCGCTCGAGACGTCGGGTACTACAGTTCTACGGGTGCAAGAGTATGCCTCCTCAAGCACCCGGGCATCAAAATAGAAGAAGTCCAAAGAAATAATCCAAAACAAGCAAAAGGTCGGCAGGAAACGACAAGCAGAGAGGAGAAGAGGGGGGAGAAAAACGAAACATAAGGAAAAGGAAAAGCGATCCGGCACAATTGGAGAAGACAGCAGCAGGAGTGCAAGGCCAGAAAAGGACAGAGGACTGCCCAACGGAGCATCACACTCCGGCAGCCGTCCACCAAGCCCCCTCACGACGCCAACGGGCCGGAAGGGGAGGGGGGGGAAGGAGTCAGAGGCCAAATGAGGAGCAAGGTCGGGGCCCAATGCAGCGGAGGCTGCAGAGCCCGGTCTTCCAATACGGACCGACTCGGGGGCTTGGTCGCCCACCCCACGAGCCTGAGGAGGTACACCAGAAGCAGCCGAAACAGGGGTTATCATCATGACGAAAAGAAGAATTCATTCACGAATGTGCCCCCACACCCACCATGGAGCCACAATTAGAGGCAGGACACCCAACACGAAGCTATCGCCGATCTTACCGGGGCCTCCTAGAGGTGCGTCGTGAGTATACGCCCCACAAACGTCACCTTAAGAAACCGACAGTCCGTCGAGATCGGGTTCAGTGACGAAAGGGGGATTGACAATAAAAGGTTCCCCTCGCTCTCTACGTCGGGTACTACAGTTCTACGGGTGCAAGAGTATGCCACCTCAGGCACCCGGGCGTCAAAATAGAAGAAGTCCAAGGGAAGAACCAGAACGAGCAAAAGGTCGGCAGGAAACGGCAAGCAGATAGAAGAGGGGGGAGAAAAACGAAACAGAAGGAAAAGGAAAAGATGCCCAGCAGAATTGGAGAGGACGGCAGCAGGAGCACAAGGCTAGAAAAGGACAGAGGACTGTCCCAAGGAGCATCACACTCCGGCAGCCGCCCACTAAGCCCCCACACGGCGACAACGAGCTGAGCGGGGAGGGGGCAGACGCATTAAAGATATCTTCAATAATATTTATATATTCAATAAAATAAATGCAAACTTCCAGGAGCCTCATGCCAGTGGGTGTTAATGATCTAATAACTGGGCAATCAATGATGTGTTTGAGATTGTGACCTGGTTCCTGCTTAGTGTTACCGCCTGGAGTGCTCAGGATGGCGAGATCAGTCGCCTGTACCCAAAGGTAACTATCCTAACCTGATCTTGGCAAAGTGTCAGTCTGGTGGAAGTTTTGTGCCGCCCATCAACATTTGTTCCCATCCGAAACAGCCTTTTATAATATACTTACAGGCCATAAGAGTAATTTGTTGGACCCGAATATTCGGACCAACAATGTCTTTACAATATACGGGTGATACCTAGGTTAATTTAACTGTCTTTGCAGCCTAATTTGCGTGTGACAATGCAATTATGGGGGTTATAAGAGTATGCAAAATATTCATAACCCTTTAATTTCGCTTGCAGATAGAGTACACCTGTGGATAAAAGAATTGGGAACATGACTTTGTATTTTTGCCTGTGTAGAAAATTTGTCGATAATGTGCCCAAGTCACGTTCATCCAATACGTCACCTAGTGATACCCAGAACGTTCACGGGTAGATTTTGTTTATAAAGACCTATAGCAGGCAGCTGAAATAAGTTTTTAATTCAATTTTCTTGTTAAACACTTTCGCTATGCAAAGGGGTAGTTAATATACTAACAAGCATCTTTAGAAAAAGTCACAGGTCTACTGATGAAATTTACAACAAGATGGGGCCCCACCATAAATAGTGCCTGCATGTATAGAGACCCGAGTAACCAGAGAGCATTCTGTAGTAAAAGTCTTCAGCACAAGTATGGTATACAAAAGAACTGCAAGATTTCTGTCCATTGTTGAATGATAAATATTATATAATTAAAATGTTAAATAAAATTGATCGTTTTTACGCAAGTTTTTATTTCAGGTAAGATAAGTACAATAAATTAAGCATAGTATCTGGCGGTGGTGGACGTAACCGTTGTAGTTACTATTTGGGTGATGGTAGTTACTATATCCTGCACGAGTTCTTGTGTAGATACCACAGGGACCGTCTGGATCTGCAAAATACAAACATTCACGTTTGTGTAATAAATGTAATGAACACTTTAACAAGTTAAAGACTACATAGTTACCTCGTGAGTGACAGCCACGTGGGTGATGGTCTGCCAGTATTTAACAGTATCTGTTGTGGTGACGAACTGACTGTAGACGGAGACCATTGTGCTCACTGGGTAGACCCCCACCGTAGCCGTCACCAACACTACCGGTGTGGAGGTGACCCTTATCACAGAGGTCACCGTCTGTGGCTGCTGGGGAACAAACTCCCATTGGGTGGTTGTCTGGGTGACTGTCAGGGTGATCGCTGTCTGCTCAGTAACCCAGACGTCAGAGGTTGTAGTCTCCCGCAGAGTGTGGGTCAGGGTAGTCTGCAATATTATACACCATTACCAAATTGTGAAGTATAAATAACAGGTTGGTTGAGAAGGGTAGTACCATGGTTACCAACCTCAGTGGTGACTGTGGAGGTTGTGGGGGTGACGACTGGCAGGGGCGCGTGGGTGCCGTAAGGTTGGTACGCCTGACCCTGGATCTGTTAGAGAGCAATTTTTAGCTTCTTTCCAAACTGCATTTAATATTTGCAAGAGTACAGTGTAAAAATGGTAATTACCTGGGCGATACAACCGAGGAAGAGTAGAGCAAATATCGTCATCTGTATGGAAGAAAAGGCAGTGTGTAATTAGAAGAGTTATTAGCTACCACGATCAAAGAAGTAATTATCAAAAGGCACCAAAGCAGGAAGGCTATGTAGCACCATCATATGTGCGGAATAATCAGAAGGTGGTAAATATCACCAAGGATTCCAATACAAGAACTGAAACGCACAAGGCGAACAATATAAAAAAAAATTAATTTTGTCAGGAACTCTATACAGGGACAAGCGACCGCGAGGGATGGCGAGAACGAAAGATACTCTCGTCCTGAAGTAAAGACATTCAATAAGGATATGCATAATCTTAAGTGGGACAATACAATTTGGACAAGGAGCAGGGAAGCGCCCCATTAAACGACCAAGAGCCAAGGGCGTATGGCCAATACACAGCCTCACCAGTCATTTCCCCCACCACCAGTTATCGTGGTAGGAAGACCACGAGAACTAATAAGTAGGAAGTTTGTTACCAGAAACAGAAGACCAACAATCCTACCAACTTTAAGGATGGAAGAATGAATAACTGGCTTAAAGTCTAAGGAATACCTTAACGGGAGATGGGACTAGAGCGCACAGTTTCCCTGCCTGCAGGGTCCGCATGCTCGCTTAAAGCGACACCAATATGGCTGGGAACCCAGCAAAACTCATCCTACTTAAATTTACTGAATAGGAAACAGCCAATGCCGAATCTGTACGACCACTGGATGACTATTAAAGGATCCAAGAGCCATGAGGGCACTACCAGAGTCAACGACAATCACGAAGGTAGATTGAAAACGACAATGCCACACACGAAGAGCAGAGAGAACAGCATAAAGTTCTGCTGTGAAGATGCTAGTCTCCGGAGGTAGGCGACACAAGTGTGGTCAGGAAAATAATAGTAGCCAACACCGTCTGCAGACTTAGACCCATCGCTGAAAATGGAAATGGAGTTAGAGTGTGATGAAGAGTGTTCAATGAAACGGTGTTCGAGAACTGCAGGAGGGGTAAGAGCTTTAGTAATATGGGCAAGGGATAAACAAAATTTAGGAAGGGGGACCCTCCAAAGGGAAAGGACAGAACAATACGAGGAGAAGCATCGGTCATACGAATCCAAGGAGAATTTTCCAAGAGAACCGGACAGAAAGAGGGAGGCAGTGAAGCGGAACATGAGCTACAGGAGGGATAAGAGTCAAAGAACGACATAGGCGAGGGTAAGGATGTTGCAAGGACTACACAAGATATCGAAGACAAGTGATCACAGCGGTCCTGAAGAGATAGGAAGCCATTTTCAATATACAAGCTGGGGGCGGGAGTCTAACGAAAGGCACCAGAGCCGAGGTACAAACCATTATGGTGCAAAGCATCATGGCTGAAAATTAGAAGAGGCAGAAGAGTAAGCAGGGTAACCATAATTAGTTTTGACAGTACGAGAAAGGAATGTAAAGAGGAGCGTGCGCCTATCCGCTCCAGAAGTATGGCACAAAAACCTTTAGGATGTTAAGGGCCTTAGAGCATTCAACTCGGGTAAAAGTTATGGGGTGACCAAGACAATCGAGTTTCAAAGATTAACCCCAAAAGCTTAACGGAATTCCTGTACACAAAGAGGCGAATGATCACCCCCGACAACAGAGGGCAAGTTCGTCGACAGAGCTGAGAAGACGCAAGAAGGAAGAGGAAAGAAGACCACTGAAGGCAAGTAGAAGAAAAAAAAAATTATAGTACTCAAAACACTAACTTAGGGCACACCCTTGCATTGCCGAAAGAGGGGAGTGACACTAAGTTTCACTAAAGGCACGACGAGAGAGGAAGCTTTGGAGGAAGAGAGATTACCACGAAGGACAAGAGAACGAAGTTGGGAGAGAATATGATAAGACACCGCCTGGACATAAGCCTTTTCCAGGTCTAAAAATACGGCAACAACGGAGGTCATCGCAGCAAAACCAGAACTAATATAGAGCAAGTTCACCAGGACATCTGTTGTGCCGAGGCATTTACGAAAAACCAAATTGAGAAGGAGAGGTGGTGTAGTGTTCTAAGAACCACATCAAATTAACGTTAACCATACGTTCAAAAGAGTTTGCAGACAATTCTTGAGGGCAATAGGTCAGAAGTCCTGAGGGCATGTCCCGAGAAACCCTGGTTTCCGAACAGAGAGGACAACAGCATCGAACCAGTCTTCGGACTGACGACGACTCCCAGACCCGGTTATACAGACTCATACCTAGACGTGCACAAAGGGAGATTGCAAAGCATTTAATGAATGCCATCAGAGCCCGCTGCCGTAGAACCACAGAGGGCCAGGGCAGATTGAAGTTCAGAGAGAATGGATCGTTATAGGGAAGGCTGAGATGGGTACGGAAATCTAAAGGACGAGATTCAAGAACAGGATTAAGAAGGAAGGACGAAGATGAGAACCAGAGCCAACATGAAAAGTGGGAACCCAGTTCGGCCGCAACCTGCACCGGGTCCAACACAGGAGTACCACGGAGGTGAAGGACCGGCTAGACATAGGGAACGAAGTTACCCACTATCTTGTGGATGTGCTTCAAGATCTGCAACAGGCGATTTTCGGACATAATGGTGGCAACGCAAGACTGCCAACACTTAACCGTACAGATGGTCCACTGCACTCCTTCCGAAATAAAAGAATCTGCCGGCGGCGGTGTCCAAGCTGAACGGTTACAGCAGACAGCCCGAGCACAGTCCACCAGGGAACGCACTTCCGCGGCCGCGAGGGGGTCTAGTGAACGTTTCCACCTCGAGAACTTGGGCCTCGAGGATGTTTAATATCCTCATGGCAGTCAGATCCCAAACACCAGTTGCAGCATGGTGCGGGAGGAGAACAGTGTCAACACTGGCACTTAACAGTTTTATGGAGATCCAAAGAGTAGTCTCCATCGCAGGACAATGGAGCTAAGCGGGTAGCTGTATCCTGAGAAGCAGTGACGACATTTGTACCAAAACCGGTGGGGTTAATTTAACAGGCATCAACCTAATCAACAAAGTTTTTATAGAGGGAGAAATCTTGAGGAGGTGCAGAACCCAACTGGAGGCATCATTATTTAGCCCATGAAGTAGGACCAAACAACGGTGGTATGCATTAGTATGAGAAGGGATCGTGCGAGTGCGACCGCGGTGAGGACGGCGTCGAGAACCTCGAAGTGTTGAAAGGTGTAGTAGTTATATTGAGAGACCAAGCCGGGCCAGGGTACGAGGTAGATACCAGAGGGGGCTTAGGGATGAAACCAACCACAGGAGGGAGGTAAGCCAAGGAGAGTTGTTAGGAGGAGCAGAAAGGTCAGGGCCCAGTGTAGCAGGAGTTACAGAGCCCCGTCTTTAAACAGGGCTCGACTCGGAGGCTTGGTCGCCCACCCCACGAGCTCGAGAAGTCATAAGAGGAACAGTAGTCATCGGCATGAAAACAAGAATGAAGACTTTTCACCAATGTCCCCCCCCCCTTCCCACCATGGAGTCAATTAGAGGATAAGACACCCAAGAGATATTTTGCCGGTGCCTCCTAGGGGTGCGTCGTGAGTATACCGTTCACAAACGCCACCTTAAGAACCGTCAGTCCGTAGAGATTGGGGGTTCAGTGATGAAAGAAGGATCGATAATAAAAGCGTCCCCTTGCTCCCGACATTGTGGTACCGACAGTTGTATGGGCGAGAGTATGCCTCTTCAAACACCTGGCGTCAAAACCTAAGAGGTCGAAAAGAATAATCAAGACTGGCAAAATGCCAGCGGGAAATGAATTAGAAAGAATAGGGGGAGGGGGAATTAAACTAGGAAAATTAAAAGATCCAGCACAATTGGAGAAGACAGCAGCAGGAGCATAAGGCCTCAAGAGGATGGGACCGACCCATGGAGCATCACCCTCCGGCAGCCGCCTACCAAGCCCCCTCACGACAACGGGCTGGATAGGGAGGGGGAACCATGATCAGAGCATTCAGATATACTCTGAAATCTAAACAGAACTGAAGTTACTGCACCGAATATTTCCTCACTAGCTCAAACAATGCAAGACCAAGAATTTGTGAAAAAATTATGGGAAACTTAAGGTTTCTAAAGGGGGGGGGGAGAGGGGAGGGAAGGAGGAGGAAGTACAGTCGTCTTTAAACTGAAGATTATCCAAGTTTAGAAATTAGATTTGATATTAACCGATAGGGTAGGAAATTCAACTAACCATTTCTGGCAGTTTCGTCAGAAATTTATTCATATATAGTAACATAATATTACTATATATAGTAAGTATTTGGATATTTAGATCCAATAGCAATGTTAAAAAAAAAAAAAAAAAAAAAAAGTTAAAAATTAGTCAAATCGAATATTATGTGCTTCAGGGTATTTATATTATACTTAATGATCGGCAAATATTGCCCAAGTTAAGAACGTGCAGTACTATAGTCGAGAAACTCCCTATTAAAATCCGTTTAATAGATTTTAAAATGCCTGTCTTATTAGGTCCTCATCGAAGGTTATAGGTAACCAAAATAAACTTCAGCAAATCGAGGAAACAAATTATTTTAAGACTATGGATAATTTAAGTATATAGGCAGTAGTTTAGTAAAGAATGCAGAATATCTTGGCAGAAATTATGAATATTTAGTCTGCTATTGGAGTAGAGACTTTGCACTAAAGTTTAAGGTTACATTTCTTTAATAGCATTGCATCGCAGTTAAGCTATTTTAAATTCATAGTTCTACATTTTGCACAAATGATGGAATTTTTGCAATTTAAGAAAAGAGAGTGTTACTAGGGTTAAAATAAATTACAAAATAAATATTTGCTAGGCCTAGGCTCTTAACTACTCAAGAAATTTACATTTTAAAAAGTGCATTACATTTTAAGCACGTGAATTTTTACTATAGATTGGAATCACCAACCAAATACTAATAACAATGTACTAGATTACCTTAATAAATATATTAATAAAATATTACTAACTTACCAGCATAGAATCAGTACCCATTAAGCAATTAATTCAAAGTAGGATTTTTTTTCAGTAAACAATGTACTTAAATAATTGGTAAAATGTACAATTGATTTAAAACTAACCTTTAACAACACTTAAAGTATGAGAGAAGGATCCACACAAACAACAGTAGACTGACTGAGGGTTGAAGGCGGGCCGGGCACCTCGTTGACTCAACACCAAACACTTTAGGGGAAAGGTAGAAAGTTCCCCACAAAAGATGCCACGGCCACCATGACAGCGCCTTCTATTGACTGAACTGTCAGCTACGCTCCCAGTGGAGCAAAATGGTGTGAAGACTCACGGAGACTCAATATTTATTTATTTTTAGCATGTCCAATAATTCTTTACAATTCTATTTAATAATTATATTAAAATATTTTTTGCAGCCTTTTTTTTCATTTTTTTATTTTTTTTGCAGCCTTTTTATCGTTTTACTGATTATTAGCAAAATATATTAGTTTTGCTTTGAATATTACCTTTAGTCTTAGAATATTTAATTATGAGTAATTGTAACACCAATTCAATTCAATTTATTTCTTTATTATGCACCCCATACCCATCCCGTGGGCTTTGTTGTAAAGGATTACAGAGGTACATAATCGGTTCAGGAACTGAACCCTCTAGTTCGTTTAGCTAAGCAAATAACAATATTTTGACGCTAGTTACAAAATTATTAATGTTATATATACATGTACACATTTTCATACATACATGTACATATATATATATATATGCATATACATATATACATACACATACATATCTAATCACCCACACAAATACACGCATCAATAATCTTTGTGTCACAAGTGATTCAACAAGAGGCTCTCAGCAGTCACTATACAAGGCACTTTACATATATGGTGAGTCACACAGTTACTAGTCTTGCTGCACACCCACCCAACTGGGCGGCAGCTTTACAGTCATGTGCATGCATTACCTACAGTAAGCAAATTTTGGATACTTCGTTAAGATTTCGGGCAGCACATCATTATGAATGAAGTCACCGTAGCCCAAAATGTATATATCTACCACCTTTTATTTTTATTAATATATGAGGTACATCTGCATTTGTGCAGCTACCCTAGACTATATGAAGTGGATTACAGTGTGTCAAAAAAGCTAACTACGTGATGCTAAAAAATCCCCATCACACAGGATGGTTAGTCATACCGAGGCATGTGATAGGCAGTCTGCACTGGCAGACTCCGGATGTATTTTGAGGATATCATCAGCACAAGAGTGAATAAGGTAGCAGTGGTAAAAAAGTCCCCATCTTGCAGGATGGTTAGTCATACAGGGTCATATGTTTAGTAGCCTGCACTGGCAAATTTTGGGTGCAATATGAGGATATCCTCAAGAATACGAGAGTGAATAAAGTAATTGCAAAGCTCCAGGTACCTCATACCAACTGGTCTGAAAGGTCTAATAACTGGGCATTCGTTGATGTAGTGTGGGATATCATGCCGCAGTTCCTGCTCACAGAGTTTGCACCTGGAGTGCTCAAGATTGGGAGATCCATCACCTATAGCCACCTGCCACAGGTAACGGTAACCCAACCTGATCCTTGCAACCACTGTATCGCACAGTCTGGTGGATGTTTTGTGCTGCCCATAGATATAGGTTTCAGATCTGAACAAATCATAGCTTTTAATACTAGTACTTTCAGGTCGTTGGGAGTCAGTAATTTCTTTCCTATCAGACCTGAGTGTTTGAACCAATACAGTTTTGACAGTAGAGACGGGGATACCTAGATCTAATTCAACTTCATCGTTGTTGCACGCTAATTTGGCTGCAATGTCTGTCTCATTATGATGGGTTATATTTATGTGTGAAGGTATCCATATAAAAGAGATTCGAGACCCTTTACTCTGTGCAGCAATTAGATCATTTATAATTGGTAGTATGAGGTTCTTGCTGTCGATCTTCCAGGAGAAATTTTCGATTGCTTGAAGAGCAGACTTTGAATCACAAAATATTATTTCTCCTCCAATGTTTTTTTAATGTACTGGTAGCTAGTTATGATGCTGCTAGTTCTGCTTGTGTGGAGGTCATCCAGTTGTTTAACCTGACACTGACAGTCTTTGTGCAAATATTATTTCTATAAAACCTGCATGCTGCTGCAGTTCGTTCCGAGGCCCCCACTCACATATTGAGAAATAACACCGTGGGCTTAAATTCACATATTCACCACACTAGGTCTACACTCACATTTTGAGAAAGAGCATTGTAGGCCTCAAAGCCTATATTTACAGCCGTATGCCTACTTGTCTGCACTATTACAGTTGACACTCCTCTCCCTCAGATCTGGAAGAAAATCCGTTTGTAGGGGGTACGTTTGTTCCAGATATCACGCCAGTCCTTCACTTCCGTGGTCCTGTTGTGGCTGATCCGGTGTCGGTTGCATCCGAACTGGGTTCATACTTTTCGACTGTTAGCTCCGGTTCTCATTTTCCTCCCTCTTTTCTTGCTCGCAAGCCCCTTCTTGAATCTTGTCCTTAGATTTTCGCACGCATCTCCAGCTCTCCTAAAATGACTTTTTTCACTCTCTCGGAGTCACACATGACTCCAGTCTGCCTTGGCCCTCTGCGGTTCTACGGCAGCGGGCTCAGATGACATTACTTATGGGATGCTTCGCCATCTTTCTCTATGCACATTTTACTATTTACACAATATTTATAACCGTATATATGAGTCGTCGTCAGTCCCCACGCACTGGCTTGAGGTAGTTCTTCCTGTTTGGAAACCAGGTTCTCTTGTTGAAGCACGACTGATGTCCTCGTGAACTTGAAGGTCTATTCCTACTGCCTTTGCTGCTAAAACCTCTGTTGTTGCTGCTGCCCTTTTTGACCTGGAAAAGGCATATGACACCACCTGGAGATACCATTTTCTGTCCCAACTCCGTCCTGTTAGCCTTCGTGGTAATCTCCCTCTCTTCCTACAAAGCTTCCTCTCTAGCCGTTCCTTTAGAGTGAGGCTTAGTACCACTCTCTGCCTTTTTCGGGAATACTAAGGTGTACCCCATGGTAGTGTTCTTAGCAGTACTCTTATTCCTGGTAGCACTCAGTGGTCTTCTTGCTTCCCTTCCTTCTGGAGTTTTCTCAGCTTTATGTTGACGATCTTACCCTCTGCTGTCGCGGTGAAGACTCACTTTTCCTACAACGACAACTTCAATTTGCAATTGATGCCGTGTCGTCCTGGGCCATCAATCATGGCTTCAAGTTTTATACAACTAAGATTTGTTCTATGACTTTTACTCAGAAACAGGCCTTCGTCCCCCTTTGTCGCTCTATGGCATTCCTCTTCGGTATAAAGATTCTGCTAAACTTTTGGGATTAATCTTCAACACTTGTTTGTCTTAGTCGTCCCATATTTCTTACCTCCGAGTTCAATGCATTAAGGCCATAAATTTACTTAAGGTATTGTTTCATACTTCCTGGGGCGCTGATGGTTGATGATGATGAAGATTAAGCCACCCAAGAGGTGGCACGGGCATGAATAGCCCGTAAGTGGTGGCCCTTTCGAGCCATTACCAGTATCTAAAGATGATACTGGAGATCTGTGGAGGCGCAACTGCACCCTGCGTGACGGGAGATGTCTCCCGGACCAAGTGGTGACCAAATGGTGGCGCTGATGGACGCACACTCCTCTCTTTATATTCCTCTCTCGTGCTGTCGAAACTCGATTGTGTCTGTTCCACTTACTCGTCTGCCTCACCTTCCACTCATCGTTGTCTTGATGCTCTGCACCATACTGGGTTACGCCTCAGCTCTGGTACCTTTTGTTCGTCCTCTACCCTGAGACTTTTGTCCTGTCTCTACAGGATCGTCGTGTTCGCTATTGTCTTCGCTACATTGAGCGGTCCCTACAACACCCTCACTCTCGCTTACGTCGTGCTTTGATCGATAACCCTCCTGTAGAGCTGTTCACTTTCACTAACTTCCTTTTCTTGCCCGGTTGTCTCGCTTGCCCAACCGAACCTAACTGCAATATTTCTGCAGGCACAAATAGTAAATACACACTCACACAAAACAAACAAAACACATGTGTTTTTCTGCTGTTAATCAGACCCTTAGTGTGTATACAATATAAGATCAGTGAGTAGGAAAGTAAAGCTAAGAGCCGCAGAAGCCCAGCTGTGGGAGCGTTCTCTGCGACCTCACAGTCCGGAGATCAAGCCCTGAGTCAGTAATGGTTAGCTCCTTTTATTGTCTCACATTACTTATTTAAAACGTTATTTTGTTCTTGTTTCTATTTTCCATACCACTTGAAAACATATATTTTTACGTTTTACATACAAGATTCTTTCTCTGTTCCTATTGCCAACATTTCTCTTCGTGTCGTTACTTCCTTGTCCCCCATGGAGGGTCCTACTTTGAGAGTTTTGCTAAACCTTGATCTATATAGCAAATGATTCTACTCTTCCTACTGTTCTGAAACTCCTTATTCTTGAACATTTTCTTCACACTCATACTAAGTTTACCGACGGTAAACCGGCCGACTGACTCGGGAGCCGGTCGGCCGAGCGGACAGCACGCTGTACTTGTGATCCCGTGGTCCCGGGGTCGATCCCAGGCGCTGGCGAGAAACAATGGGCAGAGTTTCTTTCACCCTACGCCCCTGTTACCTAGCAGCAAAATAGGTACCTAGGTGTTAGTCAGCTGTCATGGGCTGCTTCCTGGGGGTGGAGGCCTGGTCGAGGACCGGGCCGCGGGGACACTAAAAGCCCCGAAATCATCTCAAGATAACTTCAAGAAGGAAGATAACGGTGTAGGCTATTCTGTTGTATTTCCTGAACAGACCTATATGAGACTACGGGAGACTAGCATCTTCACGGCAGAACTTTATGCAGTTTTGTATGATCATGGTCGTCGTAGGTGACTATCGCAGTTCCCTCATGGCTCTGGAGTAATTTAATCCTATCGATCTTGTGGAAGTCGAAATTCAACATTGGTTGTTTCTCATCTCCAGCAGATTTAAGGCAGTCGAGTTTTGCAGGGCTCTCAGCCATATAGATATTTCTTTAAAAAAGCGTGCAGATGCTGCCGCTAAGGAGGCTACCCACACTTGTCCTATTTTCAGCAAAGGCGTTCTTTATTCCGGCTTCTTCCCAGTCTTTCATTCCTCAATCCATGCCCATTCGCAGGGTCATTGGTCGTCTGTTACTGGTAACAAACTGCGTGCT